AATAAGCTTTTATTTGTTTTTGCTGCTCAACGGCGACCGTTACACACTCAGTCCCAACTGGACTCTTAGGCAAATTGATCTCTTCTCAAGTGATATCTAATTCATTCGGTATGCGACTACTGGCATGGTTCGTTCCTTCGATTATTATGCAAAGATTTGAACACATACCGATCCCCATCAAAAGTCTCTAATATAATAAATGGACTTTGCAATAAACGTTGTCTGATGCCTTTCTTCGCTTTTTATTAAAACATAGTCACTAGGCTGGGCCACTAACCATACAGTATATAGATGTGCCAGTTCATACAACGAAAGGGGCGCAAGCTGATTGTTCTGTCCTGGCTCCCAGCGCTTCGGCTCTGTGAGGCTGAGACACTCGGGTCGGGAGCCAGGCTATTCGGGTCGGGAGCTGGGCCGTTCGGCATGTATGACTCATGTCGGGAAGCGAAAGCAAGCTAAGAATTGCAAATGTATGTGTGTAAACAGACACGACAAAATTTTGTATCAATTCTTATTTTCCGAAACCGTTTTGAGTTTGTTTTGAGTTTCGTTTCCAGGTTACGTAAATGTGTGTGTGCCATGTATTCACACATACTGTGCTTGTGTGTGGGCTCAACAATTGTTGGCCGCTTGAATTGGTTTTTCGTTTTGTTTTGACGGCTGATGTGATGTAGCGACCTATTCAGGGCCGGATCAACCCTCAACCGGGCCCTGGGCAACCATCAATCTGGGGCCCTCCTTTATTTTGTATTTTTCTCAGTGGCTATTATATTTTTTATTCATTATTTGGAGTTTTGTTTTTCAACAAAATTTTTCTGTTATTTCTAGGAGGGCCCTATGCAACTGCTAGTCCGGCCCTGGACCTATTCCCGTCGTCAGACTTCATATTTTCTTGGTGTATTCTGTCGCTCGACTCGACGCGGGTCCGAAGCCGAAAGCAGAGGCAAAGGCTAACCTAAAAGAGAATGGAAGAAATACGCCGCGCGCCCGTCGCAACATCAGCTTTTCAAAACAAAACGAAAAAATATTTTATGAACGGCTTCGTCAATGCCTCGACCCGACCCGCGTCGAGTCGAGCGACAGAACACACCAAGAAAATATGAAGTCTGACGACGGGAATAGGTCCAGGGCCGGACTAGCAGTTGCATAGGGCCCTCCTAGAAATAACAGAAAAATTTTGTTGAAAAACAAAACTCCAAATAATGAATAAAAAATATAATAGCCACTGAGAAAAATACAAAATAAAGGAGGGCCCCAGATTGATGGTTGCCCAGGGCCCGGTTGAGGGTTGATCCGGCCCTGAATAGGTCGCTACATCACATCAGCCCTCAAAACAAAACGAAAAACCAATTCAAGCGGCCAACAATTGTAGAGCCCACACACAAGCACAGTATGTGTGAATACATGGCACACACACATTTACGTAACCTGGAAACGAAACTCAAAACAAACTCAAAACGGTTTCGGAAAATAAGAATTGATACAAAATTTTGTCGTGTCTGTTTACACACATACATTTGCAATTCTTAGTTTGCTTTCGCTTCCCGACATGAGTCATACATGCCGAACGGCCCAGCTCCCGACCCGAATGGCCTGGCTCCCGACCCGAGTGTCTCAGCCTCACAGAGCCGAAGCGCTGGGAGCCGGGACAGAACACTCAGCTTGCGCCCCTTTCGTTGTGTGAACTGGCACATCTATATACTGTATGGTTAGTGGCTGGGCCTAGTTTTTTTCGAAATTCAAACACCTCCTTTTTGTTACCTTGGATTTATTTTATTTATTTATTTTTTTTTTTTTTTAGAGCTTGCTACCGAATTTTACAAAAAAAATGTAATCATGAAAATTAAAAAAACAATTTTTGCTGAATGAGTTGGATAATTGGTGAAATCTATTGCATATATTGATACTATTCATATCGTCATTGTTCGGAGCAGCAGCCGTTAATAGTTCTTAAGAAATTAATATCACATAGTCACACATCATCTCTTATACTGAAAATCGCTCTCACAGTACGTTCCCGTACCCACACACATATTTCATTACTGCTAATAGTACATTGCTTCGCCCTGTTCTCGCATCAGTCCAAAATACTGGTCGAACGCATCGAATCGTAGTTCACGGCCACGGCCTCAACCCCTTGTAACCCGTCGAGAAATAAAAAACCTTTGTAAACTTTACCAACGGATTAAATTATTTGTAAATGTGGAGTCATAGTTGCCGAAAAAGCTCGTCAGCTTCCAGCATTTTGGTGACCCCGACGTGATTTCCGTGGACTTAAAGTGCGTTAAAAGTGTTTAAACCATTAAATTAATCCACATTTGAAGGTTTCACGTGATATTTGTGAAAAAAGTAGCGAACCAAAAGTCGTTGTGGCCGACCTTAGCAGTTCTAGCTGCCCGCTTTTCGTTTTCGTATTCTCTTTCACCGTCTGCTTTAGTCTGCGCAACGGACTGTCGAGACTGGCTGCATAGAGTTCTAAGCGTGGTCCGTTAGGTTTCTTCGCCTCCTCTTTGGTCGTTTGCTTCAGCCAGCTCTTGTGAGAGACTGCAGTAATACCCTCTGAAATTCGAACTCGAAAGCAGAGTACATCTCGAACGTTCTCTCTTTTTCATAATTGTTGGTTTTTCCGTAGTCGCTTCGTTGTTTTTATCGGTGCATGCATATCGCATATACAAGTGTCAAAAAAGTGAACGCAAAGGCGTTTGAACTCGCGCGTTGCGTAATCATATTTAATTGTGATCGACTAGAACCCTCCACGTCAACCGTTTTCTATAACCGAAAACATGGGCAAGAGAAAGAATAGTAGAAAGAGTTGATCGTTTGCTATGGGCAATGAAAGTGATTCGGTGACATTTGGCGCTGCTCCATCTGGTGAAAGTTTTAGTGCGAACGCAGCCAGCACCCATGTCCCTGTTCCGGTATCTTGTATTTCCTTCATGAGACTGAAGGCTAGAGCTATTTTCGATCGGCTAGAGTCCATACGCACAGAGATGAATAGTGAAAAGTTGCGCCAAATGGATGCATACGACTTGCGAGGGCTGTTGGAATCATTGACGGAGCTTTGGAGGAAGTGGATTTTGAGTCAATGTCCAGTGAAATTCCTGCCAAATTCGAGTCGTCCAACAATATTGTTGTTGAATACCATTCTTCAGCGCGAGCTTGGAAGTCGCTCGAGCAATAAGCATTGTTCGACATTCAACGCCAACTCTAGTGAATCGCAGTCAATCGTCATAATGTCCAATCGATCTCGGTTACCTCATCTGGAGCTGCCCAAATTCAGTGGAATTTGTACGGAGTGGGCCAATTTCTTCTCAATGTTCACCGCGATTATTGACAAGGAGTCTGTCTGAGCTGAGCCCAATCGAAAAGCTGCAGCATCTACGTTCCTACTTGAGTGGCGCGGCCCTGAATACCATCAGCTCGTTGGAAATAAATGAAGCTAATTATATCATAGCATTAGACATTCTGAAGCGACGCTTTGACAATAAACGTTTTATGTTGCAGGCACATATCAGAGGGATATTTGGGTTGGAGAAGGCTGATGCATCGGTGGGCAGATCGTTTGTAGCATCGAGCGCTCCAGTTTCCTGTGAATTGTGCGAGAGTACTCATCACATGATTGCCAATTGTCAACGAATTACAATTCTATCGCCGAATGATCGTCGCCTGGAAGCCAAGAGGCTCTTGCTATGCCTTAATTGCTACGAAAGGGCCATCAATTGAGAGCACCACACTCTTTTGCATTTCATTCGTCCAACAGAGTCTGCCCAATCTGTTCCTCCAATTGAAGCTTCACCAGCACAACTAAATCGTAACGCCATGGTTGCATTATCGGCCTCCTTGCCTTAAGCTTTTATGTCCCACAGTCCATCTGATGCTGTGCTTTTAGCCACCGCCGTCGCTCTCGTAAAAAACAGCGTTGAAACTTTCGTGCCATGTCGCGCATTTTTGGATTCGGGATCGCAATTGCATTTCATAACTAGTCGTCTAGCTAATCAGCTAAAACTTCGAACAACCAAATCGCTTACCGCTGTCTCTGGCATAGGAGATGCTAGCTTCCCAACAGAAGGTATCTCGGTGGATCTCGTTCTGAAATAGCGGATTTCAGAGTTCACCACTAGCATCACTGCCGTCGTTGCCCAGAAGATCACGGACCATCAACCTAGCCTCACAGTTAGCTCTGCTAATTGGCCTATACCGTCGAATATCCAGCTTGCTGACCCTTCGTTCCATAAGCCACAGCGGATTGACCTGCTCATCGGAGCCGAACTTTTCTTCGAGTTGTGTGTGGGGCAAATTCAGCTGGCGCCTGAACTACCGCTGCTTCAGAAAACACAGCTAGGATGGATTCTTTCTGGTGGCGAGCACTCAGCCCTCAATAACTTGTCGTTCATCGCAAACCAATCTTCGGATTACTCCAATCACAGCACTCGGCTCAATGAGTTGGTTCGTGAATTTTAGGAAGTGGAGCAAATCTTTGAGCCAATCGCTGGGGCAACAAAGGAGGAGCTGCACTGCGAGGACCACTTCGTCAACCATCACACTCGATTACCCTCAGGGGAATATTCCGTTAGCTTGCCCATGAAGCAAAGTCTGGAGTCCTTGGGCGATTCCTACTTGCAAGCAAAGCGACAGTTGGAAAATTTGGAGCGCAAGTTCGTGCGTAGTCCAGCTCTATATTTGAAATATTCGGCATTTATGAAGGAGTACCTGTCTCTTGATCCTATGTCTCTGGTGCCAAATGAAGATAGATACAAGTGCAGATATTGCCGCATCGTTGCGTCTTAAAAGAGGACAACTCCACGACAAAGATAAGAGTCGTATTCGACGGCTCTGCAGTTACCACATCTGGTCTCTCGTTGAATGATCTGCTTATGTCAGGTCCCACCATTCAAGCCAAGCTGTTTCACACTCTCCTTCGATTTCGGACATTTTCCATTGCTCTTACAGGCGATATCGGTCAAATGTATAGGTGCGTGCGTGTCTCAATGCCCGACACCATGCTCCAATGCATCTTGTGGAGGGACTCTGTTGACGACGATATACAGATCTTCAAGCTAAACACTGTCGCCTATGGGACTAAGCCTGCATCGTTTTTAGCTATTCGAGCTATTCATCAGCTGGCCATGGATGAGTCTTTTTCGTATCCATTGGGTTTGGAAACCATTCTACAGGACTTCTACGTGGACGATATGATTTCTGGTGGAAATTCAGTCGAGGATGTGCTGGATATTATGCGCCAACCACGGATCTTCTTGCTTGTGGCAATTTTCAGTTAAGGAAATGGTGTTCCAACTCTCCTGATGTTCTTCGTGAAGTCCCTGAGGCAGAAAGGGAAAGTTTTCTGAAGCTCGATGATGGCAGCGATGTGACCAAGGCGCTTGGACTCATCTGGGAACCCCATAGGGACAAGTTCTTGTTTACTTTTGCACCTCAAATCGGTGTTGGCAAGCACACTAAGCGATCAGTGTTGTCAACCATTGCACGGTGCTATGATCCTATGGGATTGATTGGACCCACATTGACAAGAGCGAAAATCATCATGCAGCGCATGTGGAGAGACAAGCTGCATTGGGATGAAAGTCTTTCTCAGCCACTGGAATCGGCTTGGGCTGAGTTTTGCAAGGACTTCGCTACTGTGGGTCACGCTACATTTCCGCGTTACATACTTCAACCTAATGCAAGGTTTGAGTTGCATGCCTTTTGTGATGCCAGCCTCCAGGCCTATGGGGCTTGTATCTATGCTCGTTCGTTTAAGGATACCGCCGATGAGGTACATTTGCTTTGCTCGAAGGCTAGAGTTGCACCATTGAAAACCCTCACGGTGCCTAAGCTTGAGCTATGTGCAGCGTTCCTATTAGCCAATTTACTTCGCTAAATTAGAAAAATGGATACCTTCGACTGCGCGATCTATTGCTGGTCGGATTCAACTGTGGTACTGTCTTGGTTGCGAGAGGAACCATCCAAATTTAACGTGTTCGTGTCTAACAAGATTTCTGCAATGCGACTTACGAGGGGCATGGATTGGCGCTATGTCCCAACTGAAATGAACCCGGCTGTCAAAAGGAGTAGCGCCTCAGGAGCTCTTGCAGTCTAGTTTGTGGAAGAATGGACCTTCTTTCTTGCAAGACGAAAGAAGTAGCTGGCCTGCACGTTGTTCGCCCGAACGTAGTCTTCCGGAAATTAGACATCGAGTATTGCTGTCGTCTGAGCGTGTCGACATCTCGCTTTCGTTTAAGCACATTAACTCATTCGGAGTCATGATGCGCATTTTTGGATATGTTCATAAGTTCCTCAGTAAAAAAAGGTCACCTGATCTCTCGTCTGAAGACCTTCGCCAAGGATCGCATTTGTTGTGTCGCATCATTCAACGCGCCCACCTGTATCCTGAGTACCGTGCTCTGCGGAAGGGGAACTGTGTGGAGTCCTCCAGCAGCATCATATCTCTCTCGCCTTTCATAGATGACTTTGGTTTGAGTCGTGTTGGTGGTCGCTTGCGGCACTCAACGCTTGGCTTCGATGCACGCCACTCAATCATTTTGCCCAGGGATCATCCATTGACGTTCGCCATCATCATACACTTTCATCGGAAGCATCACCATGCTGGGCCGCAGTCTCTACTGGGATCTATTCGCTTGCAGTTCTGGCCCATCGGCGGCATGAAAACTGTTGCTCGAGCGTTGCGGAAATGCATCATCTGCTGCAGGTCCAGACCTCGTCTTGTGGAGCACATAATGGCTGACCTAACGAGGGATCGAGTGCAGGATTCGCCTGCATTCAGCGTCACTGGAATCGACTACTGCGGTCCCTTCTATTACAAGCCAGATGGGCGCACTCGAACGCCTACAAAATGCTACATCAGCGTCTTCATCTGTTTTGCAACAAAGGCCGTTTGGTTGGAATTAGTGAAGGACCTCACAACTGCAGGATTTTTGAGTGCCCTCAACCGCTTCGTTGCCACGCGCGGCATACCCCGATGCATTTGGTCGGACAATGCCACCAATTTTGTGGGCGCAAGGAACGAGTTGGAGGACCTTCGGCGGCTGTTTATGAGCGAGAAGCACCGTGATGCAGATATAATATATAATCATTGCATCAACAATGGCTTCAATTGGAAGTTTATCCCGCCTCGCTCACCCCACTTCGGGGGCTTGTGGGACGCAGCAGCAGTGAAGATGGCCAAGCAGCATTTATATCGTTCCTTGGGATCGTCACTCTTTGGCTTTGACGAGCTGCGGACACTGGTCTGCCAAATCCAGGCTGTAATAAATTCTCGTCCTCTTCTCGCAATTTCAGAAAACCCTGAAGGTCTTGGCGTCCTTACACCAGGACATTTGCTAATTGGTCGTCCGCTAATGGAGTTTCCCGAGCCAGACTTTACTAATCTAAACTTTAACAGACTAGATTGCTGGCAAAGAGTCGCCTGTGCTCAGCAGATCTTTTGGAGGCGTTGGAGTGAGGAGTATTTGACTCTGCTCCAACAACGTGCCAAATGGCGCACACCGCAGCCATCGATCCAAGTCAACGACATCGTCTTTATCAAGGACGAAAACTTGCCGCCTTTGAAGTGGCCATTAGTGGTGATCGACGTCATCGCTGGAGCTGATGGGACTGTGCGAGTTGCCATCCTGAGAACACCATCTGGAACCACTCGTCGAGCTGTCAACGAGCTGTGCGTCCTACCCGTTGAGGATCCTGTTAAAAGCCGTGGTCTTTCAACGGGGGGGAGTATGTTCGGAGCAGCAGCCGTTAATAAGTTCTTAAGAAATTAATATCACATAGTCACACATCATCTCTTATATGAAAATCGCTCTCTCAGTACGTTCCCGTACCCACACACATATGTCATTACTGCTAATAGTACATTGCTAACTAACTTACATTAAAATCATTCTTTTACCGCGGGTGCATGCCTGATAATTGTGTAAAAACACAACTTATTTAATAAATTTTGTGCGTCGGTTAGTCGTGTGTTTGTGTTGTTGCTTTTCGTAAATACGCCCTCTCATGACATTTAGCCGCTCTTTGTCGTAGTTATTGCCATCTATCACTCTCTCTATCACCTATCTCTCAATAACTGTTCTTTCGCTCTCGCTCTTGTAACTTTTTGTGCAGTAACGCTCTCACTTATAAGCTGTTGCTGCAACCACTCTCCTCTCTCATCGTTTACCGATTCCGCTTAAAGCATTGCTCTAAGCATTTGCTCTGCACAGTGGTCTGATTGTTATTTGTTTTGAACTTTTTTTCCCAAAAGTAAAAAAAAAATAAAAGACATAAATATGGAATTTTCTGTCGTCTGTGCCAAAAAAACCTGCAAGAAGCAGATCACCCATGACCAGCCCAATATCCCCTGCTGGCTTTGCGAAAGCGTAGTACACGCAAAATGTGTAGGGATCTCGGGCCGTGTAGGAGACGCCATTTCCCAAAACAACGGCCTACATTATAGTTGTGAGGAATGCCGTGCTGTTCGTTCATGAGGTGGACGCGGAGTGGCTTCAAAGAGCTGATCGTAGGCTTTAAACAGCAATATGATCGGCTCTTGGCCATGAACACTCAGTTCAGCAGTTTACAGCTGCTGGCTGAGTCTCCGAGGCGCAAGAAGTCTACTCCGCGGGACTTGCAAGTGCCGACTGCCTCATGTCCACCGGCATCTGAAAAACTTACTCCGACCACTCCCTTAGTGCAGCAGTTGATTACGTTTGCTACTCCAAGGGCAACGATCGCTGCTGGTGATGCAGATTCGGGAGCCGAATGCTTCACTTCGGAGAGTATGCAGTTAGAAATGTCTGTAGAGTCCGTGTCCATCGAGTCCGCACCCTTAACTATCCCCTCAGTTTCGCTCCCACCAGCTAATAGATGTCCAGGACCACCGGATACTGCCATCACAGGTCCTAGGCCTGTGGTGCCAAAACCACTGGTAGGAGTCCCACCAAAGCGACAAGTTTTTGTCTCGTGGCTAGCCCCTGACCTCACATCCAATGATGTGACCGCTTTTATACAAAGCAAAATAAAAGCCGTCGGCTTAAAGGTGGAAAAATTTAACTTTTCTTACGCCAGGGAGATATCTTCCTTCAAGATAAGCGTCTCGCCAACTCAATTTGAAAACATTTGTTCCGCCAAGTTTTGGTCAGAGCACTTGGTGGTTAAAGAGTTTAAGGCTAAGAAAAAGAATAGGCCCCCCATTACTCTTCCTAGCATTCAGACCAGTGCTCCATCTCCATCCTCATCTTCCACCTCTACTTCCACCCATCCAAAAAACTAACTTCCTCTCTTGTAGTTACCTACCAGAATGCTAGAGGCTTGCGTAGTAAGCTCAGCACTCTTTTCCTTAAGAGACTCGCATTCTCATCCCATGTTATTGTGTTCACCGAGACCTGGTTAAAGCCGGACATCCTTAGTTCCGAAGTTTTGGCAGGTCTGTACACAATTTTTAGAAATGACCGTTTGTCTCGACGTGGAGGTGGGGTCCTTATTGCAGTGGACTCAAACTTCACGTCGGAACATTTCATGGTCCAGGTTCAACAAGACCTGGAATTCCTGTGCGTAAAACTGATTCTCCCAGGCTTTTCCATTTTCATTACTTGCTCGTATATTCCACCTTCCTCGGATATCTTAATATACGAGCATCACCTGTCCGCTTTAAAAACAGTTTCTTCCTCGCTATCAGATAAAGACCATATGATAGTTCTTGGTGATTTCAATTTGCCAGGTACTGTTTGGTCTTCGGTAAACGAGTCTAATAACCTTGTGCCCATGTCACGACATGACTTAATCGACGGCTTGCTAGTCCTATCCTTGTCTCAAGTCAACCATGTGAAAAATTCCTTGGGTCGATTGTGCTTTGTCTCGGATCCGACCATAGCGTTGTTAACCCGAGCCCTTCCGCTCAGTATACCTGAAGACTCCTAACATCCTACATTCGAAGTGTCAGTTGATATTGGCCCTGCTGTATTGGATCGAAAGGGTAGGCTATCTGAACGTGTCCGCTGCTTTCGTAAAGCCGAGTTTACGAAGCTTAATAACCTTATTAGGGATTTTGATTGGGCCGCTCTGTACTTGTGCACTGACGTTATGAAAGGCACAAACATTTTTTACAATGTACTTGACACATTTTTTGATTCTTGTGTCCCACTTTCTTGTCTGGTTAGATCTGGAAAGCCTCCTTGGTTTACCAAAGAGTTATCCAGTCTAAAAAATTTAAAATCAAGACTTTATAAAAAATTTCGAGAAATTGGTTCTCCCTCTTCTCTTTCTCACTATGTAATAGCTCGGTCAAATTTCTCCGTTCTTAACGCTCAATGCTATACAAACTACCTATCTCGATGCAGGATACGATTTTCACAGGACCCTAAACAGTTTTACAGCTTCGTAAATAGTAAGCGTAGAACGTCCGCACATCCATCCTCGTTATCTTTTCTCCATATGTCAGCAAACAATGATCAGGCAATTGCCGATCTTTTTGCCAAATTTTTCCAAACAACCTATTCTCATGAAAGCTACTCTGGTCAGCCGTATCCATACAGTTTACCAAGGTCGAATGGCATCTTCAGCCCCTTGTTAAATGAAAGCTCACTGCTTCATGATCTTCGACTAGTTAAGCCGGTGTTTTCACCAGGTCCCGACGGAGTTCCCGGCTGTGTACTTAGGTACTGTGCCGACGCTCTGTGTGGACCCTTGCTTAAACTATTCACCCTATCCATTAACTCTTCATGCTTCCCCCCCATCTGGAAGGAATCTTTTATTATTCCGCTCCATAAGAAAGGTAGAAAGTCTGATGCAAATAATTATAGAGGTATATCTAAGTTATCCGCTATTCCTAAAATGTTTGAAAAAATTTTAACTCCGCACTTGCAACATCTCTGCAAATCACTTATATCTCCGTCCCAGCACGGATTTATAAGGCGACGATCAACAACCACAAATTTATTAGAGCTTACCTCTTTTATCATTAAAGGCTTTCAAGGTAACTTGCAGACGGATGCCATTTACACTGATTTTAGTAAAGCATTCGATTCTGTAAACCATTCCCTTTTAGCACAAAAACTTGACCTTTTAGGGTTTCCGCCTAATCTTTTGAGATGGATTTCTAGCTACCTTCGTTCTAGGTCTCAAAGAGTCCTCTTCAAAAACTCCTTCTCTTCACCTGTTAAGGTTACTTCTGGAGTACCACAGGGCAGCCATCTAGGCCCCCTACTATTCACACTCTTTATTAATGATCTGCCTTCAGTATTAACAAACTCTCGAGTACTCATGTATGAGGATGATGTTAAACTTTGTGTCCAGTATAAGGACATTTCATTTCACTCTCGCTTGCCATCCGATCTCAATAACTTTCAATCATGGTGTTGTGCAAATATGTTACACCTAAATGCCTCGAAATGCAAAGTAATGACATTTCATCGCTCCAGCCCCCTTTTGGCTCCTTATAGCCTCTGCGGTGGTTCTCTTGAGAGAATTACCTTGGTTGATGATCTTGGTGTTAAATTAGACCCAAAGTTAAAGTTTTCTGAACACATTTCTACCATGGTAAATAAGGCCATGGGTGTGCTTGGGTTTATAAAGAGGTGGTCAAAGGAATTTGACGACCCCTATATAACGAAGACTCTCTACATCTCGCTTGTTCGTCCGATTTTAGAGTACGGCTCTTGTGTATGGTGCCCCCAGTACAAAGTACACCAGGACCGTATAGAATCAGTCCAGAAAAACTTTTTACTTTTTGCTCTGCGTGGCCTTAACTGGGATGCAGGTGTGAGACTGCCATCTTATCCTCGTAGATTGCTTTTAACAAACCTTCCAACCTTAGTTAGTCGTAGAAAAATGCTTGGTGTGATTTTTATGCACAACCTGATCAAGGGTGACGTAGATAGCCCTGACTTGTTGAGCCGCATAAACTTTACGATTCCTATTAGATCTACTAGAAACTTCATTCCTTTGTTCCTTCCGCTTTGTAGATCGAATTATTCCTTGCACGAACCATTTAGGGTACTTTGCTCGGACTTTAATTCCCTCTACCACATAATATCAACTATTAATTCCTTTCCTCTTCTTAAATCACTAATACTAACATACCTTTCCCGTATTTAGTTATATTTCTTAGCTATCTTTGCATGTTTAGCTCTTTGAGTTGTGTTTAGCTCTAATTTTCCTCGAATTTTAGTCTAACACCTATCTTTCCTGCATGCTCGCGATCGGTTCGGTAACACGCGTCGCGCGTCATGCGGCAGCGCCCCTCGGTCAGTTGGGCGGGAGGAGGGTTGCGTTTCTGCCTCGGTTCCGCGCGTAACAGGCTTCGGCTTGGTATCGCATTGGCCACTTGATGGTGCAGTCATTGCATATCAACGTCCAGAATTCGCAATGTTCTCGCATCAGTCCAAAATACTTGTCGAACGCATCGAATCGTAGTTCACGGCCACGGCCTCAACCCCTTGTAACCCGTCGAGAAATAAAAAACCTTTGTAAACTTTACCAACGGATTAAATTATTTGTAAATGTGGAGTCAGAGTTGCCGAAAAAGCTCGGCAGCTTCCAACAGCATATATTGCCGTATTCTGCTGCTTGTCCACAAAGGCTGTACATCTGGAGTTAGTTAGTGACAACCACAGATGCATTCTTGGCAGCACTCCGGCGATTCCTTAGCAGACGTGGGAAGTATCATTGCGACAACGCAACAAATTTCGTCGGCGCAAATAACAAGCAATAACAAGCTGAAAGAAGCAATATTTAGCGAAAAGGCACATGCTCTGATCACAAATCATTGCAACAAAAAACAAGT